CGTACTACAGAGATCTTAGAGACGTGCCCACGTAGCTGCTGGAAACATATTGGAAGTGGCGAAACCCTGCAGACTGCGCATCCCGAGGAATACTGCCAAAGGCCTCTTGGAACATCCAACCTGTGGAATGGACCAGCTTGAATATCTCAGTCACGCTCAACTTTTCCACCCGTTAAGGCTAAGTTAGTTCCGTTGACAAAAGAAGAGGCTTCCCTGAAGTTAAGAGCCGATCTTAAGGTTAATCTACACATTTCCGACGACTAAAATTCACTAGCCTGTATGATCAACAAACCCTTCTTCATGGTCTCGTTTGTTGAGGATTCTCAGCTACTGCTATCGTTCCGTCATGAGAAGTCATGAGAACCGTGGTTACCAGCTTTCCTTCTACAGTTGTCTCCTCCCAATAACTTCCTCCTACTTACTCTCCCCGTACTTTTTCACCAACTTCAAATGTTATCTTATGGCGAGAAGCATTTTCTTTCACCGTAAGTGCTAAACTTCCTTTTGAGATTCATTTTACGAAGCTGTCCGGGCAGTTCCATTAATCACTTAGCTTTACCTTGTATTAACCAACAAATTACACCTAACAAGGTTCAATATGTTACTATGGAATCGCGCTATTGTCCATTGGATGTACTTCGCAAAGGTCAGTAACCGTGTCACGTTGTTGTAGTCAATGGATCTGGAGAGAACTCGTTGAAGGTTGGCAAACTTGTTATTGCTATTTACATGAGGCGGACACCATATTTTTTGGGCGCCTTTCGTATTTTCCATTTAAGCGAAGTAGTAAAGCGCATTCAAAACCAGGAGAACCAAAAAAAAAATAGAAACTGCTAATTAACCCGCCCAACAGTATGTAATTGGCAAAAATGCCATTTTGCGCACTAAAAAATGTTGATATATTATATATTCTAATGACTTCTTCAATTAAGTTTAGCTTATCAAAAGCTGTTATAAACAGCACTACTAAAAGTAGAACAAAGTTTTGCAGAATCTTAGTCCTAGTGAAGACCCGAGCTCATACACATGAATCTACGGCAAAGTTTCACGTGGAACAAACAGATTAAAACTAAAAACTGAGCAACGCAAGGTAAAGCTATAAAAATTGAAAAAGACTCAGACGAAAATAATACAAAAATTAAAAAGGCAATAACAATGGGTACTCAAGCAAGAATTGAAGACACCCTAATACCCGTCTTCGATGGAGCAAACTTCACAAGTTGGAAACTGACATTAATGGTACTGCTGGAATGAAAACAACAAGCAACAAGGATTAAAACCAATAAGGAAGCTGAAGCGGACTGTACTAAGAGAGACTTAAAAGCATGACAGATGAGATGATGAAAAAGTTGATAGTATTTACACAACGAAATCCAGATCATACAAAGAGGAAAAATAGAAGAAATAAAACTCAGCAATTATACTGAAGTCGACGATTTCTTTGTAGACTTTGAAGAAGCAGAAAATATGATATATCTTATATAAAAGCATTGCCGCCGAACTACAGCTACATCGGCGATTTTATAGATATTGTACCAGAACAACAAGGAACAGCTGAATATGTAAAAAGCAAAAAAAAAGAGAAAAATTTCAACAAAAGCGAGAAGTCTAAAATATTAAGCGTGAGTAAGCGCAAATGCTAAAGGAGTCTGTTTCAGTTGTGGCACATATGAACACCAGAAAAAAAACTGCTATCTAAATCAAGGAAATCAAGGAAAGGAAGACAAAATGCTATTCAAACTGGGCAAAACAGAGGATTTCATCACAACCTGGGCATAGGAAATCGAGGAAATTTTCAAGGCCGATCACGAAGCAACAGCAGAGGCAGAGGGTCTCACCGAGGATTCGTGAACGGGACTTCAGGCAACGAATTGAGCGCAGCATGGTCTTTCGAGTTACATCATTCTGCACCTAATGGACTAAGTGGATGTGACTTCAAGGACTCAAGTGAAAATGGTTATCACCTAAATTAGATCTTGGACAGCGACTGTACGGACTATATAATCAAAATATTTTGAGAGTTATCAAGATCTAAAAATTGCTGTCGATGTTAAGCTGCCAGCTGTCAAAACTTTAAAAGCTACCAAAATTGGTTATATCAAACTAACTTTTAAGACATATTATAAAAGTAAAACTGTAGAGTTTAAAAATGTTTACTATGTAAATGGAATTCAGGAGAATTTATTAAGCGTATCAAGAATAACGAAAAACAATATCATTCTTGCAAAAAACAGTAATGAAAAAATATATGATCAAAATAATGAATAAGTAGTCGTATCTTATAAATAAACATCTTGTATGTGATAAAAGGTATTGCAAAAGAAACTGATAGTATTGAACAATATTTATTCAGAATTAACAGGTATACTGCTACCTATGTGTTGGTCTCCAAATTAGCCTCTTCGTCAGGGAGTTTGGATGGGAGCCAAGGCGTCTGGAGTAGTTTCCAGCATGCGTTCGACAAACATCGCATATCTTTGGGATTTTGAGATCTCTTTCTACATCTCTGGTTCTCATAAACCATGGGCATTACAAATCGATCTGACAATCTTGCCTTTCGCTACAAGTATTTTTTTAGGTTCGACTTAGACGCTATGCCTTAGGCCTCTAACACATATTTCCAGATTGGACTGAGAATCGATTTATAAATTCTAACTTTGTTGGACAAAGAAAGCTTATTTCTTGACGTAAGTAGCCAGGAATAAAGAAAAATATTCCGAAATATTTGGATAAATTAGTTTCACGAAAATTATTAGGAGGTTTGCCATATGATCTAGAAAAAACTGAGAAAACTGAGTGTGCGAACAGCTTACATATTAGATTATATTAACTTCGTAGAAAACATTTAACAAATGTGTGAAGAAATTACATTGTGATAACGGAAAGGAGTATTGAAACACAGACATCAATAGCCAACACACAAGAAAAAAACTTTCCGAAATATTTTTCAGTATTAAGCCAAATGTTAAGAATTTAAAACTCTACGGCAGCAGAGTATTTGCTAGAATACCAGAAGTTTAAAAAAAAAGCAAATGGGATGACAAAGCTAAGGTCGGAGTACTTGTAGGCTACAATAAAAACGGTTATAGAGTACTTATGAACAATAAAGTTATTAATTTTAGACATGTCGATATAATAGAAGACAAAACGGAATTAATCTGCATAAAAAAATACTAGGAAGTAGGAAGTATTGGTAAAGAAAATGTTTTTAGTAAGACAGAATCTGAAATGTGTGAGGATAAGCAATCTGAAAGAGAAGCAAATGTAGAAAATTAAAATTTTAATCAGAGTGAATACAATTACGTAGATAATACTCAAACATTGAGAAAATCAAGTAGAAAAAATTCAGGTAGATAGATATGGTAGTCCAACAACTCATTACATATGCAATGCATATATTAATCATATCGCTGCGAGTATTCTAAATACATTCAACGAGGCGATAAGCTCTAAGAATAACGAAGACTAGATCAGAGCAATGGATTGTGAAACTAAAAGTCTAAATAAGAACTAAACTTGGATAGCTGTCGATAGACCTAGAAATAAAAAATTCATTGATGTGAGGTGGGTTTTCAAAAGAAAATATGATGGCTTGGTATGCTTGGTATGATACGATATATGAATTCCTAACAGTTCTAAGTTTTATAAGAAATGGGAAAGTTAGAAAATTCAAGACTATACAATACACCCATGGAAACAAAATTAAAAATAGAACAAGCATCTGAACTAACCGAACAAATTAAATATAGAAATATAATTGGTGAATTACTATACATAAGTACAGGCACAAGACCAGACATAACGTATAGTGTGAATTATCTCAGCAGATTCCAAAACTGCTATAACGAAACTCATTTTATATATGCTCTAAGAGTATTCAAATATTTATACAGGACAAAAGACTTAAAACTGACGTATTCTAGACTGCATGGTAGATTCGGATTTCGCAGGAGATTGTGTTGTTAGTAAATTAACGACGGGTTTTGTTATAAGATTCCACGGAAACCCAAGCTTCTGGAAGGCATGAAAACAAAATTAAATTGTAAAATCTTCAACTTTTGCTGAATACACTGCTATGTCTTAAGCTGTAACTTTATTCTTATTTAATAGAAATTTATTAATGGCTTCATTTAAAAAAATTCAGTCAACCCATAAAAATTTAGAAAGATAATACAGGAGCAATCGGTATAGCTAAGTCCAGAACTTTACAAAAAGATCGAAACACATTGAAGTATATTATCACTACATAAATGAGTTAGTTAAAGAGTTACAATAAAGGCTTAATCGATATTGTAAAGGTAGATTCAGATAAAAATTTAGCAGATATATTATTAACTAAGAGCTTATGTAAAATTAAATTTCTGAATAATAGACAATCGCTGAAGGTATTGTAACAACTTGTAAAATATTATAAGTCAAAATGTAAAAAGTTAATGGTAAACAAATGATGTACACATGAAGTAAATAAAGTATTCCAGATTATAAATTCAAGGATGCGTGTTGAATTGTATAAATATAATAATCTAGAGTTACTAATATTTAAGCTAGTGTAAATAAGATATTATGATAGAGTATATAATACTAGTATAAGCTAATATGAACAAGACATAATCGATATCGATTGTAATTAAGCTTACATATTTTTAATACTGTCAAACCTTGGAGCAACTAGCTCTAGTGATGCAAGTTCGACGGAAAACCTCGATGTTTTCAAAATAACCATCGATGCATCCCTTAACATCGGTATAAAAAAACATCGAAAAAACCTCGGAAAAAATCGCTAAACAAAACATTAAGGTTCGATGCATCGATGAATTTTGAAATAAATTTCAAAAAGCTTTGTACTATTAGTTTATTTATGAGTAAAAACTTCAAACAAACACGTAGTGATTATATATTTTTTTATTTTTTAGATATTTAAGGAACAAAACTTAAAAAGAAAATATAACAACGCATCCATTGCACTTTTTCAATATATGGAAGATTATAAATAGGCACAAAAACTTATAAAATAATAATGCTTTCATAGCAGTCTTTTGACTTAGATTGAGATTATAAATAGGCAAAAACTTAAATTATAATAATACTTTAATAGCAGTCTTTATTTTCATTTTCATTTAAATTAGAAAAATAATTTTTTTTTTGTTGACGCTTTTCAAAAATAAAATGCGGATTAGCCGCTCCGGTGTTATCCTATTTCTTTTTGAGTTAACACATTATAGGCAGCTGAAAAGACTCTTTCAGAGGGAACCAATGATCCCACTACTGGTAGGAATTGTTGGGCAACAGTATGCCAATTCGGATATGAATTTTTCATACCATCCCACTCTTCCAATGGGTTGCTATTAAATGGTGCCAATGGCATTCGCAGATAGAACATTATTTCAATGTCAATATCGGCATTGGGGCTTTGCGACTGTACTAATTTGTGGTGATGGTCCCAAAACGAATTGGATTGTTATTTGTCGCATTTATCAGGGTTTCCTTGACGTTCTCGGTGGCCATCGGCTTGGCGATCGATTTTAATTTTTGAATTGAGTTTGCGCATGCCTGCGAGTCCTTAAAATGCAATTTCTTGAAACGCGGATCAAGAACCGTTGCCATTGATAGAATTGAGACCTAAAACAATACATAGAAAATAAATATTAACACTAGAATATATCAGAGTTCAATCATACCTGCTCGATTGGGCCCATACGCTTATCAATTTCATTTAGCAGGAAGTCCTTTACAATGATTGTATCTGCCATGTTCGGTGTAACATTAGCCAATTTTTCTTTCAAAATGTTCACCATTGGAATTATGGTGCTAGCTGTGCAATAAGAGTCTCCGCTAACTATTTTTGTTGCTTCCTCAATCGGGCTGAGCAGTGGGATTATATCATTGAGTAATTGCAACTCATTGCCGTTCAACATGGTCAATTCGTTGCACACATTCAAAAGAATATCATTTACAATGTTTTTGAGCTCCAAATAACGATCGATCATATAAACGTGCTGTTCCATCTCGTAGCAACGTCTTGTATTAAATTTTTCTCCGTATGTTTTCTTAGTTTTTCGCTTGCCACGCTGCTTTTCTTGACAAAAGTGACAATTTCTTTCACTTTGCTAATTATGGAATTTATTCCATCTTTCTGCATGGCAGCTCGTGCAATAAGATTGAGAGTATGGGCAAAACCCGGTATATGCTTTTTTCGCCCAAAAGCACAGCTTTAACCACATTAGCTCCGTTGTCGGTTACAACGGCAGTCACTAAATGTTTCTGAATATTCCAATCTGTGCAGCAGCTTTCCAACACATCACAAAGGTACGCTGAAGTGTGCCTCTCGGTTAGTTCTAACACACCGATTGTCAATGACATCATTTCATTTTGCAGTTGAAAATGCACAGTAACTGCCCAGATAACTTTGCATTGACATCTGGTCGCTCCATACATCCATTGTTATTGTTACGGTTTTGTCTTTCAGCAATGTCTTGCTGCTTTCCTTTAACTCGGTGTGTTTATCGTCCACAAATTTCGTTATAGTAGCACGCGAAGGTATTTTGTACCTTGGTTCAACCGTTTTCTTTAAATGGATGAATCCCTCGTTGTCTACTATGGAAAACGGTTGCATGCCTTCTCGAATCATAAAAACAATGGCATCGTATATTTGTTTAGTTTTTTGGCCACCGCTGCCGAACTATGATGCTTTCTCTAAACAATTTATTATTGACATTTGGGATGTCATTCGTTTTGTTTCATTACGGTCGATTTCCACGCCATCTTTACTTACTTTATGTACTGCACGCAGATGATCCTTTATGTTGGTAGTATTTCCGGACGTTTTTAACTCCTTTGCGCAAATGTTACATTTAACACTAGTTGTGTTAAATTTTTTGAAATTCCTCCAACAAAAGCTGGTCTTTGACGTTACTCTGAAATTTTTAATTGATATATATATTCATTTAAAACTAATAACTATACTTACTTTGGCATTTCTAATATATTATTTAAGTTTTTAACGAATTGTTAAACTAACTCGCCACAGCACTGCAGTGTTGTGAAATTAGAGACCGATGTTTCGAGAAACATCGATGCATCAGTTAACATCGGTATAAACAAAACCATCGAAAAACATCGCTAAGAAAAACATCGATGTTCGAAGCATCGATGTTTTCAGCATCACTAACTAGCTCAACTTTTCTGAATCAAAACAATCTTCTAAACTCAACAGGGTTTGGTATTGGGATGTAAGTAGCTGATCTTCACTTCCCAAGTCAATTTTTTCTATTGTTCCAATAGATCTTTTCAGCTCGTCTTCTATTGCAATCTTCTTCAATCGTAAGAAGAAGAGCCATTTCCAAAGTATTAACAAATACTTGATATAAATAAGAAGAAACGCTCTAGTCGAGTGCCACGACTATAAAATATACATAAATTTAAAATTTTAATTTTGCTAGTGGAATGGGCACTTCCTTTTGTAAAAAAAGGTGAAGAGTAACTGATGGAGAGTAACACTTTCCATGTGAGGCCTTATACATTTCTTCATAAATAGCGAAATATAGTTCCGATTTAAAAAAGATTTGGTTAATCGATAGATATTAAAAAAAAAAGTGATGTGGGAGTGGCAGGATGCTGAAATAAACTGCGCTGCGTAGGGATCTCAAGAATCTACATGCTTAATCTCTTTGTATCTCCTATAGTTCCTGAGATCTTAGCGTTCATACGGACAAACGGAAGGACGTACATGGCTCAATCGACTACGCTATTGATCCAGATGAAGAATATATGTACGTTATAGGGTCGGAAACACTTGCATCTACATGCTATATACTTTTCAACAAATCTAATATCCTTCATGCGAAAATCGATAGTGAACTTACCGACGATTCTCCGGATAAACGGAAATTCAAATTTAGCTTTTTGTGGGAACCAGCGGCGAAGAGCGAAACGGATAACAGCAGCATAATTTTTAGTAATCATAAGGGGTACGTGGATTTTCAAGCGACCTAGAAGGTCCTGGATATCAACACCAAGCATCGTCTTACGACTAGCGAGGGATGGCAATTTAATTAAGTAAGAGTCTACTTTTATAAGAGGGAAGGTGTAAGCTCGTATCCCTGTTGAGACCACGGAGAGCAAATATTAAAAATTTCTTTTGCAATATATATATATATATATATATATATATTTCTTTCAATATTTTTTTAGTCTTTTATTTGCTGAATCTACTCTTAATTTTGAGACTTAACATTAAAATTAACTAACAATATACTAAGATTTCATTCTGGTTGCGCTTCCCTTAAGTCGGTTGCTGGGTGGATAAGTCATTGCGACAATTGGTTGCTTACGTACCACGGTACCCTGATGATTGTTCTCAATATCTTCGACTGAACTCGCTGGACAATGTCAATAATGCTATTGCTGGCGTTCCCCCATAACTGCGAGTCGTACTTTTTTATAGGTTTTAGTACTGAGTTGTACAGCAGGACTTAATAATCAAGGCTAAGAGGAGACCGAGCGTTGATAAGCCAATGAAGGCTGCGGGCTTTTAGCTTTAGGTGTGTTCTTTTGGCTTCAATGTACCGGCGCCATGTGAGTCATCTGTCGAGATGTACTCCTAGGTATGTTACTTCATGAATAACAAGAACAATACCAAGCTCGTGCTTCGCGGTCCACCATGCCCTAAAAAGATCTTCAAAAGCAATATCTCAATCTTCAGCCCCAGAGATGGAAATTAACTTTCATAAAGTCTCAATTTTATTAAGACTACAGAACTCACCGGTATATGCGAAATACAGTGTAAGCTTCACAAGGCTCTTAAATACAAAAAAGAACGCTATAATTCACAGAGCGCCACCTTTTGCTATGAAAAGCATGTTGACTAACAGATGGTACCGTCATTGTCCATGTGAGGCCTTATAACCTACATTTTATCTCTTATAGTTCCTGAGATCTCAGCGTTCATACGGACAGACGGGCGAACAGAGGGACGGACAGGCGGACATGGCTAATCGACTCGTTTGTTGATCCTGATCAAGAATATATATCCTTCACGGTTTACAACGCTTCTTTCTACCTGTTAAATAGTTTTCAATGAATCTAATATACCTTTTTACTCCTTTTAAACTGACCTAAATCGTTTAATAGGTAATTTCCAAAATATCATTAACTCAATTAAATATAACTGGTATATCCACCTCTCTGTAGACATTTGCGATGCCTTTGGAAACAGTTTGTTGGTCTACACTAAGAACGACAATTTTCCCTTGCCACCAATTTTAGTGAGCTTGAATATTCCTTTCAGTATGCGAAAGGGAAAACACCCGGTATATACCGTATTTCCTATGGTTAAACAGTTACCCTCCGAAGCTAAACACCGTCTATTAGAATTGTATATCGCAATGCTCGCTAGGTATTATCCCTATCATAAAACCTAACAAACATACCCACGAAATAAAATCATTTACACCCATTTTCTTACTCTCCTGTTTAAACAAGACCCCTGAAAAAATGTTAGCCAAAAGACTAACGAGGTTTATTACATAACATAAACCTACCAAACTGATTTAAGGCAAAACCATAGCACTATAGATGGGCTTCAGCATCTCCATCATTACATCTGATGCCCTTTATACCAAAAATCATGTTACCATATTGGAAACTGAGGGCTTAAAGGGCTTTTGATCGCGTGGAGGTGCATACAGTATTGGATCAACTTTCCCCGCAGGGGCTTAATGAACCTTTAACTTAGCAAATGCTTTTATAATCAACTGTTCTATTCGAGTAAGAGTTCACAAAGTTACCACCTTTGCAGTGGTAGACCAGCATTATTATATACATGGGGTCAGCTACCTCACCATTTCTCGGTTTTTACTGCGGAAGCAGTAGCCATTATTAAGTTAATTAAATTGGATCTCCTCTGCTGACTTAAAGTTAGATATGTCGTCTATAGTGATAGCATGCCCATTCTGCAAGGAGCCCAAAACTTCTGCTATAACTACACCATTTATCCTAGATTCGGTATCTCTACATCAAAAACAAGGATACTTAAGGCAGATTCTCACCCTGTGGACCCGAATGAGTGCCTTTCACTTAAAAATTTTTTTTGAGAAATCGGATAACGATAAATTACTGAACATTTTTTCTGAATATGAATAAATGAATGATATGAATAAATATGATCAATTTTTGAGAAATCGGATAACGATAAATTACTGAACATTTTTTCTGAATATGAATAAATGAATGATATGAATAAATATGATCAATTTATCCAGGAAATACGATTTTTATACCCGTTACTCGTAGAGTAAAACGTTATACTATATTCTTTCTATCTAACAGATAGAAAGAAGCGTTTCCCACTCTATAAAGTATATATATTCTTGATCAGGATCAATAGGGAAGTCGATTGAGCCATATCCGTCTGTCCGTCCGTCCGTCCTTCCGTCCGTTCGTATGAACGCTGAGATCTCAGGAGCTATAACAGATACAAAGTTGAAATTAAGCATGAAGATTCTTGAGGTCCCTGGACAGTCCCTGGAAGTTTATTTCAGCATCCTGCCACGCCTGTTTAACGCCCACAAATCATGAAAAACTAAAATCGCTTAAATCCCGGGAACTATTAGATCTAGAAAGTTGAAATTCAGTATGTACAATCTTTGGATGCCAGCGCATCTTAAAGTGGTCTTATTATCAGGCCACATCCACCTGTACGCCCACCAAGCTCAAAAAGGTTTTCGCATTTTCTAGAAGATCTGACTTCTCGGTTACTATAAGAGATAGAAAGTTTTGATTAAGCATGTAGGTTTTTATGATGCCCCTTATGCGAATTGTTTTTTTCCGATCAAGCCACGTCCACTCTAACGCCCACAAAACCAGAAAAACAAAAAATGTGAAAACTTAGGGAACTATAAAAGCTAGAAATTTGTACTTAAGAATACGTATTTAAAAGGTGCCCCTAGTTTTCATCAGGCCACACCCACTATAACGCTTACAAACCGCGGATACTGTGGCGTCTATAATATTATAGTGTATGTTTTCGTTTGACCTTGTATAACATTTTTTTTTCAATATCTATCAATTTACCAAAGATTTTGCAAATCTGAACATTTTTTCGCTATTTATGAAGAAATTTGAGTTATAAGAGCTCACATGGGCAGTGACGTCACCATCAGTTACTCAACATGCTATCTCCGACAATATGGTGCGCCCTGTGAATTTACACTAGCAAAATAGTCGCGGCACTCGACTTTAGCGTTTCCCCTTGTTAGAATTTAATAAATAAAAAAGGAGGAAGGGGATCCCCATTAATGCCCACTTTCGTGGCCCCACTACTGGAAGAATTTGAGCCAGTGAACTGAATTATAAAAAACAAAACATATTCTTAATTTGTATTGTATTATATATTAAATCAGCTACAATCAAAAAACCTTGATATTTCAAAGTTATGAGGTTCTGAAATAAATTTCGATTTTTTGAGTTTTTTCTTTACTAATTCTTTTTTTATAATAACAATTTTTAATATTTTTGGCTCATCGAAGTTCATTTAATAGATTAAGCCCTAAGAACATTAAAAAAAATTGGTAACGATTTTTTCATTATAGCGCCTTCAACCAATTCCGTAAGGTCCGAAAACGTGGTTCTGTGGTTTGCTCATCAGCGCTGCCTGTACCTGTAACCTTTCAGATTTTAATCTTAAATTTCTATAGTACATTTTTGCAACATTTGTCTACAAAATAAGGCAAGAAGGTGAAAACCTTCTTTAAGCTATTATAGGCCCACCCTCAAATCTTTTAAATCAGAAATATATCAGAAAAGTATTTATTAATTATTGAATCGATGGCCTTAGTACTTAGTAGTTACTCCTTTCCCTAAATTAGTCATTGTATTTTGATTATTTATTTTTCATACTGAAGTAGAAAAGGAGACT